TGGGGCCCTGTGGGGTGTCTATGGGGTTCCATGGGGTGAGGCTCTATGGGGCTCTATGGGGTGTCTATGGGGTTCCATGGGGTGAGGCTCTATGGGGTGTCTATGGGGTTCCATGGGGTGAGGCTCTATGGGGTGTCTATGGGGTTCCATGGGGTGAGGCTCTATGGGGCCCTGTGGGGTGTCTATGGGGTTCCATGGGGTGAGGCTCTATGGGGTGTCTATGGGGTTCCATGGGGTGAGGCTCTATGGGGCTCTATGGGGTGTCTATGGGGTTCCATGGGGTGAGGCTCTATGGGGCCCTGTGGGGTGTCTATGGGGTTCCATGGGGTGAGGCTTTATGGGGTGTCTATGGGGTTCCATGGGGTGAGGCTTTATGGGGTGTCTATGGGGTGTCTATGGGGTGTCCCTATGGGTCCCTGTGGGGCTCTATGGGTCCCTATGGGTCCCTATGGGCTCTATGGGTCCCTATGTGTCCCTATGGGTCCCTATGGGTCCCTATGTGTCTCTATGGGTCTCTATGGGTCCCTATTGGCTCTATGGGTCCCTATGGGTCCCTATGTGTCCCTATGGGTCCCTATGGGCTCTATGGGTCCCTATGTGTCTCTGGGGTGTATGGGGTGTCCCTATGGGTCCCTGTGGGTCTCTATGGGTCCCTATGGGTCCCTATGGGCTCTATGGGTCCCTATGTGTCCCTATGGGTCCCTATGGGTCCCTATGTGTCTCTATGGGTCTCTATGGGTCCCTATGGGTCTCTATGGGTCTCTATGGGTCTCTATGGGTCTCTATGGGTCCCTATGGGTCTCTATGGGTCTCTATGGGTCCCTATGGGTCTCTATGGGGCGCAGCCTCCGCAGTTCCTGCGGCCATTTTAAGCCTCCGGCTGCGGAGGCCGCGACACAAAATGGCTGCTGGGGGGGGGGGGGGGGAGGAGAGAAGCGGGGGGGGGGCAGGAGCTGTGGGGCTGGAACCCTGTGGGGCAGAGACCCCGGCCCCATAGCACAGAGCCCCCCCTGCCCCATAGCATGAGGGGACCCAGCCCCATAGCATGGGGGGGGGGGCAGGAAGTTGCTATGGGGGGGGCGGGGCCAATCTATGGAGCTTAAGGGGGGGGATGTGTGGGGCTGGAACACCCCAATCTATGGGGCTGAGGAAGCCCTGAAGTGTGGGGCTGGCGGACCCACACGCAGTGGGGCTGCCCGGGCCATAGGGACACACAGGCACCCCATAGGAGGGACCCAGGACTGCATCCGACCCCACAGAACAGCCCCAGCCCCATAGAACAGCCCCAGCCCCACACCCGGCCCCATAGAACAGCCCCAGCCCCACATCCAGCCCCACACCCAGCCCATAGAACAGCCCCAGCCCCACACCTGGCCCCATAGAACAGCCCCAGCCCCACAGCCGGCCCCATAGAACAGTCCCAGCCCCACACCCGGCCCCATAGAACAGCCACAGCCCCACATCCAGCCCCACACCCAGCCCCATAGAACAGTCCCAGCACCACATCTAGCCCCATAGAAAAGCCCCAGCCCCACACCCGGCCCCATAGAACAGTCCCAGCCCCACACCCAGCCCCATAGAACAGCCCCAGCCCCACACCTGGCCCCATAGAACAGCCCCAGCCCCACAGCCGGCCCCATAGAACAGTCCCAGCCCCACACCCAGCCCCTTAGAACAGCCCCAGCCCCACATCCAGCCCCACACCCAGCCCCATAGAACAGTCCCAGCACCACATCCAGCCCCATAGAACAGCCCCAGCCCCACACCCAGCCCCATAGAACAGCCCCAGCCCCATCCCTGGCCCCATAGAACAGCCCCAGCCCCACCCCTGGCCCCATAGAACAGCCCCAGCCCCACAGCCAGCCCCAAGAACAGTCCCAGCCCCACACCCAGCCCCATAGAACAGCCCCACACCCGGCCCATAGAACAGCCCCAGCCCCATAGAACAGCCCCAGCCCCACACCCAGCCCCATAGAACAGCCCCAGCCCCTCATCCTGCCCCATAGAACAGTCCCAGCCCCTCATCCAGCCCCATAGAACAGCCCCAGCCCCGCATCCAGCCCCACACCCAGCCCCATAGAACAGCCTGAACCCCACATCCTGCCCCATAGAACAGCCCCAGCCCCACACCCATCCCCATAGAACAGCCCCAGCCCCACACCCAGCCCCACAGAACAGCCCCAGCACCACATCCAGCCCCATAGAACAGCCCCAGCCCCACATCCTGCCCCATAGAACAGTCCCAGCCCCACACCCAGCCCCATAGAACAGCCCCAGCCCCGTAGAACAGCCCCAGCCCCTCATCCTGCCCCATAGAACAGTCCCAGCCCCTCATCCAGCCCCATAGAACAGCCCCAGCCCCACATCCAGCCCCACACCCAGCCCCATAGAACAGCCCCAGGCCCACACCCAGCCCCATAGAACAGCCCCAGCCCCACATCCAGCCCCACAGAAGAGCCCCAGCACCACATCCAGCCCCATAGAACAGCCCCAGCCCCACACCCAGCCCCATAGAACAGTCCCAGCCCCTCATCCTGCCCCATAGAACAGTCCCAGCCCCACACCCAGCCCCATAGAACAGCCCCAGCCCCTCATCCTGCCCCATAGAACAGTCCCAGGCCCACACCCAGCCCCATAGAACAGTCCCAGCCCCTCATCCAGCCCCATAGAACAGCCCCAGCCCCACATCCAGCCCCACACCCAGCCCCATAGAACAGCCCGAACCCCACATCCTGCCCCATAGAACAGCCCCAGCCCCATAGAACAGTCCCAGCCCCACATCCAGCCCCATAGAACAGCCCGAGCCCCATAGAACAGCCCCAGCCCCACACCTGGTCCCATAGAACAGCCCCATAGAACAGCCCCAGCCCCATAGAACAGCCCCAGCCCCTCATCCTGCCCCATAGAACAGCCCCAGCCCCATAGAACAGCCCCAGCCTCACACCCAGCCCCATAGAACAGCCCCAGCCCCATAGAACAGCCCCAGCCCCTCATCCAGCCCCACACCAAGCCCCATAGAACAGCCCCAGCCCCATAGAACAGCCCCAGCCCCACATCCAGCCCCACACCAAGCCCCATAGAACAGCCCCAGCCCCATAGAACAGCCCCAGCCCCACATCCAGCCCCACACCAAGCCCCATAGAACAGCCCCATAGAACAGCCCCAGCCCCATAGAACAGCCCCAGCCCCATAGAACAGCCCCAGCCCCTCATCCTGCCCCCTTGCCCACAGGTGCTGAGCGCGGCGCTGGAGCTCCCTGAACCGGACGAGCGGCGCCCCCTGGGCCCTGCCCCCCCCCAGCGCCCCCCAGCGGCCCCGCCCTGCCCGGAGCCTTCCCCTCCCCCCCGGGCATGGAGGGGGGGGGCGGGGATGGGGGAGGGGCGGTGGATTTGAGGTGGGGGGGGAGGGAGCGTGAGGTGGCATCGACATCGTCATTGGCACCGATGGCGTTGACGTCATCAGTGACGTCATTGGCATCGTCGTCGTTGGCATCGATGGCCCCAATGGCATTGACGTCAGTGACGTCATTGGCATCGTCATCGTCGGCACCGGTGGCCCCAATGGCATTGACGTCAGTGACGTCAGCGGTACCCGTGGCGTTGACGTCGTCATCATCGAGGGCGTCAACGGCACCCATGGCATTGACGTCATCATCATCCACGCCCTTGGCGCTGACGTCATCGTCAGTGACGCCGGCGACACCGTCGGCATCAGCGCCGACGCCAACGGCATCGTTGGCGCCGTTGGCATTGACGTCGTCGTTGGCGCCGTTGGCACCATTGGCATTGACATCATCAGCCTCTTTGGCGCCATTGACACCGTTGGCGTTGACATCATCATCATTGGCGCCGTTGACACCGTTGGCATTGACGTCATCGTCATCGTCGTTGGCGCCGTTGACCCCGTTGGCATTGACGTCATCGTCCTCGCCATTGGCCTCAGCAGCGGCCGTGCCATTGGCGCCCTTGACGCCATCATCGTCCTCGTTGACGCCGTTGGCATTGACGTCGTCGTCGTCAGCGTTGGCGGCGGCAGCAGCAGCGTTGGCACCGTTGGTGGCAGCAGCAGCGTCATTGGCACCGTTGACGCCGCCATCGTCGTCACCGTTGAAGCCATCGCCGTCATCAACGTCATCACCGTCGACATCCTCATTGACTCCATTGACAGCATCATCACCATCGTTGACTCCATTGACGCCACCGTCATCCTTGGCACCATTGGTGCCCTCATTGGCACCATTGGCATCCTCCTTGACTCCATTGGCACCACCATCCCTGACCCCATTGGCACAACCATCATTGACCCCATTGGCACCGCCATCTCCAACCCCATTGGCACCACCATCATTGACCCCATTGGCACCACCATCGCCATCGCTGACCCCATTGGCACCACCATCATTGACCCCATTGGCACCACCATCGCCATCGCTGACCCCATTGGCACCACCATCATTGACCCCATTGCCATCACCATCGTTGACCCCATTGGCACCACCATCGCTGACCCCACTGGCACCACCGTCGCCATCGCTGACCCCATTGGCACCACCATCGTTGGCACCACCATCGCCATCATTGACCCCATTGGCACCACCATCCCCATCATTGACCCCATTGGCACCACCATCATCATCATTGACCCCATTGGCACCACCATCGCCATCATTGACCCCATTGGCACCACCATCGCCATCATTGACCCCATTGGCACCACCGTCACCATCATTGACCCCATTGGCACCACCATCGCCATCATTGACCCCATTGGCACCACCATCGCCATCACTGACCCCATTGGCACCACCATCGTCCTCCTCGCCCCCCCCCCTCGGCTGCGGGCTGTGCGGCCGTGCCTTCGCCTCGGCGCCGGCGCTCGCCTTCCACCTGAAGCTGCACCGGGGCCGCCGGGGCCTGGGCTGCCGGCACTGCGGGAAGAGCTTCATCCACGTCAAGAGGCTCCAGACCCACGAGGTGCTGTGCAGGGACGGGGACAGCGCCATGGCCAACAGCACCATGGCCAATAGCACCGTCACCAACAGCACCATGGCCAATAGCACCGTCACCAACAGCACCATGGAGAGCACCGTGGCCAACAGCACCATGGGGGACACCATGGCCAGTAGCACCATGGCCAACAGCACTATGACCAATAGCACCATGGAGGGCACCATGGCCAACAGCACCATGGCCAACAGCACCGTCACCAACAGCACCATGGAGAGCACCATGGCCAACAGCACCATGGCCAGAACCATAGCCAACAGCACCATGGAGAGACCCATGGAGAGACCCATGGCCAACAGCACCATGGCCAACAGCACCATGGACAGAACCATAGCCAACAGCACCATGGAGAGACCCATGGCCAACAGCGCCATGACCAACAGCACCATGGAGAGCACCATGACCAACAGCGCCATGACCAACAGCACCATGGAGAGCACCATGACCAACAGCACCATGGCCAACAGCACCATGGCCAGCAGCGCCATGGCCAACAGCACTATGGCCAATAGCACCATGGAGAGCACCATGGTCAACAGCACCATGGAGAGCACCATGGCCAACAGCACCATGGCCAGCACCAATGGCACCATGGTGGGCAGTAGCACCCAGGACAGTACCCATGGCACCATGGTGGGCAACGGCACTGTTGTGGTCAAGAGCTCCATGGACTCTACCGTGATGAGCAATAGCACCATGGACACCACTACCATGAGCAATAGTGCCAACACCACCGTGAAGGTCAACAGCACCGTGGCCACCACCAACACCGTGAAGGTCAACAGCACCATGGCCACCACCAACACCATGAAGGTCAACAGCCCCTTGGGCCCTGCCAATGGCACCATGGTGGTCAACAGCACCATGGCCACCACCGACACCATGAAGGTCAACAGCACCATGGCCACCACCAACACCATGAAGGTCAACAGCACCATGGCCACCACCAACACCATGAAGGTCAACAGCCCCTTGGGCCCTGCCAATGGCACCATGGTGGTCAACAGCACCATGGCCACCACCAACACCGTGAAGGTCAACAGCACCATGGCCACCACCAACACCATGAAGGTCAACAGCCCCTTGGGCCCTGCCAATGGCACCATGGTGGTCAACAGCACCATGGCCACCACCAACACCGTGAAGGTCAACAGCACCATGGCCACCACCAACACCATGAAGGCCAACAACACCACCGTGCCGGCCAACAGCACCAACACCCTACTGGGTAGCAGCACCATGACGACGGTGCCCAACAGCCCCATGGACGCCCCCAACGCCCCCAAGATGCCCACCGACGGCTCCACCGCGGACAACCCTACTCCAACCACCGATATCCCCCCCACCCCGATGCCCACCACCACCACCATGAGCACCCGCATCGGCGGCGGCGGCGACGCCACGGCCCCCCCCAAACCGGGCAAGAAAGCCCTTTTGCTGCGTCACCGTGCGTTGGAGCTGGCCCCGGAGCAGGACGCCGTGGTCAAGGTGGTCGACGGCCACTTGGTCTACGTGTGCGGCACTTGCCATCGCTCCTACATGACCCTGTCGAGCCTGAAGCGCCACGCCAACGTCCACTCGTGGCGCCGCACCTACCCGTGCCGCTACTGCGACAAGGTCTTCGCCTTGGCCGAGTACCGCACCAAGCACGAGGTTTGGCACACGGGCGAGCGCCGGTATCAATGCGTCTTCTGTTGGGACACCTTCGTCACCTACTACAACCTCAAGACCCACCAGAAGACCTCGCACGGCATCAACCCGGCCTTGATCTCCTCCGAGAAGACACCCAACGGCGGCTACCGGCCCAAGGTGGACGCCTTGAAGCTCTACCGCCTGCTCCCCATGCGGGCCCACAAGCGGCCCTACAAGACCTACAACCAGGAAGGCTTCCTCGTGCCGCCACCGGCACCGGCGCCGGCACCGGCGCCCGCCTCCGTCATCGCCTACGGGCCGTCGCCTTCGGTCATCGTGCCGCCCATCAAGAAGCAAGTGCTCAAGGAGTACATCGAGGCGCAACAGGCGGCGGTGACGGTGACGGCGGCGACCCCGGCGCCGCCGCAACCACCGCCGGGAGACAGCCGGACCATGACGTACGTGGCCAAACCGGCGTGCTCGGGGCCGCTGGGGGGGCTGTGCCAGATCACCGTGCGCATCGGCCAGGAGGCCGTTGTCAAGCGGAGCATCGCCGAGAGCCACCTACACCCGCCGGCGACAGGCGGCGGCGACGGTGACGGTGACGGTGGCGACGCCGCCGCCGCCGAGGAGCGGTTGTGGGGCTACAGCCCCAAAGGCAAGCGGAAAGCGGGGGCCGGCGAAGGGGTGACCCCAACCGCGTGGCGCCGGGGGTGGCAACACCCGTGCGGGGTGTGCGGGAAGAGCTTCGCGGCGCTGCGGAAGCTGCGGCGGCACCAGCGGGGACACGCGGAGCCGGGGGGGGACCAAGGGGGGACCCCGGCCCCACCGGCGCGTGTGGGGCGGCGTCCGGCCCTGCGCTTCGCCTGTAGCCGCTGCGTGAAGGTGTGCAGGACGGCGGCGGCGCTCAGCCGGCACCTCAAGAGGCATCAGGCGGAGCTACAGGCGGAAGAAGGGGGTGTTGGGGGGCAGGAGGGGGGCGGCGGCTGCCCCATAGAAGGGGTGGGGGGTGCGGAGGGGGACAAGGGGGTGGCAGCGGGTGACAAAGAGGCAGCGGGTGACAAAGAGGCGGCGGGTGACAAGGAAGCGCCGGGTGACAACAGGCGGACGGGGGAACCCCGGGCGGTGACGTCACCCCCCCCCGCCGTGGGCGGGGTTTACCCCGTCCAGGATCAGCCATTGGCTCTGTTGAGGCGGGGGGGGGGGGGGGGGGGGGCAGGGAGGACCCCAACCCCCCCCAACTCTGCCCCACACTTTCACTTTCCCTGCGGTGGGGGGAGGGGGGGGGGGGAGGAGGGGAGCGCCCTGCCCCATAGATGGGGGTGGGGGGGGGCCCGTAGAATGAAGAGAGGGGGGGGACCCATAGGAAATGGGGGGCCCTTGAGGGTGAGTTGGGGGTCTGGCCCCATAGAGAAGGGTCCTGCCCCATAAACAAGGGCGGAGGGGGGGGGACGACGCCGTAGAATTGGGGGGGCCCCATAGGAGACAAGGGGGCCCCATAGCATATGAGGGGGTTCTTGCCCCATAACAAAGGGTCCTGCCCCATAGATGGGGGGGGGGGGGGGGGGAATAACGGACCCCCCCCCCCCCACTATTGCCCCACCCCCTCCCCCCCCCACACTTTAGGCCCCTCCCCCCTATAGCACCTTATGGCAGCCACATTCCACCCCTCCCCCAAGGGGCGTGCGAGGCCTCATGTCTTCCTATGGGGGGGAGGGGGGCTTAGCCCCGCCCCCCCCGCCCCGCCCCCCCCCCCCATTGCAATGAATGGGGCTTGCACGGGGGGGGGGGAGGGGGAGGGGGGAGGGGTCTTGTCCAAGCCCCGCCCCCTTCGCACCCCCCCCCACCCCCCCCTTTGCACTTTGATGGCCGCATTTGCTACTGACCGGCCCCGCCCCCTTCCCCTCCTTTAGCCACGCCCCCTTTCTATTGGCCACGCCTCCTTCCCCTCCTTTAGCCACACCCCTCTCCCCATTGGCTCCACTCCTTCCTATTGGCCACGCCCTCCCCCACCCCCACTTCCGCACTGGCTCCGCCTCCTTTGTCTTGACCACGCCCCCCCCCCCGCCTTGGCCCCGCCCCCCCCCCCAGCAGCGAAACCCCACCCCTAAAAGAGGCAACCAATGGGGGGACCGCCCGGCCAGCAGGGGGCGCTAGAGCGGGGGGGCAATGGGGAGGTCTCAATGGGATCGTCCAATGGGGTGGCCCCAATGGGGTGACCTCAATGGGGACGTAACCAATGGGGTGACCTCAATGGGGATGTAACCAATGGGGTGGCACCAATGGGGTGACCTCAATGGGGATGTAACCAATGGGGTGGCACCAATGGACACGTAACCAATGGGGTGGCCTCAATGGAGATGTAACCAATGGGGTGGCCCCAATGGACACGTAACCAATGGGGTGGCCTCAATGGAGATGTAACCAATGGGGTGGCACCAATGGGGTGACCTCAATGGACACGTAACCAATGGGGTGGCACCAATGGACACATAACCAATGGGGTGACCTCAATGGGGACGTAACCAATGGGGTGGCTCCAATGGGGTGACCTCAATGGGGATGTAACCAATGGGGTGACCTCAATGGACATGTAACCAATGGGGTGGCCTCAATGGAGATGTAACCAATGGGGTGGCCTCAATGGGGATGTAACCAATGGGGTGACCTCAATGGACACGTAACCAATGGGGTGGCCCCAATGGAAATGCAACCAATGGGGTGTCACCAACGGAGACGCAACCAATGGTGATGCGACCAATGGGGTGGTCTCAATGGAGATGTAACCAATGGGGTGACCTCAATGGAGATGTAACCAATGGGATGACACCAATGGACACGTAACCAATGGGGTGGCCCCAATGGAGATGGCCTCATGGAGATGTAACCAATGGGGTGGCCTCAATGGGGTTACCTCAATGGAGATGCAACCAATGGGGTGACCTCAATGGGGATGTAACCAATGGGGTGGCACCAATGGAGACGCAACCAATGGAGATGCCACCAATGGGGTGGCCTCAATGGGGTGATCTCAATGGAGATGTAACCAATGGGATGACACCAATGGACACATAATCAATGGGGTGGCCCCAATGGAGATGCAACCAGTGGGGTGACCCAATGGAGATGTAACCAGTGGGGTGACCTCAATGGGGATGTAACCAATGGGGTGGCCTCAATGGGATGGCCTCAATGGAGATGTCACCAATGGGGTGACCTCAGTGGAGATGTAACCAATGGGGTGGCCTCAATGGGGATGTAACCAATGGGATGGCCTCAATGGAGACGTAACCAATGGGGTGGCCCCAATGGAGATGTTACCAATGGAGATGCCACCAATGGGGTGGCACCAATGGAGATGACCTCAATGGAGATGTAACCAATGGGGTGGCCTCAATGGAGACGTAACCAATGGGGTGGCCCCAATGGGATGGCCTCAATGGAGATGCAACCAATGGGATGTCGCCAATGGGGTGGCTTCAATCAGGGACGCCCCCATCGGGTGCCCCATGGCGAGGGGTCCCCCCAGGGGTGTGGGGCGCCCCATAGCGGTGGCGGTGCCGAATGTCCACTATTTATCTGCATCAATAAACACCTTAGAGCTGAGCTGCATATGGGGCGCTATGGGGAACGTGGGGTGCTGTGGGGAGACAGGGGGATATGGGGGGTATGGGGACATGGGGATATAGGGGGAACATGGGGGGTATGGGGATATGGGGGGGTATGGGGAACATAGGGGTATAGGGGGGACATGGGGGCCTATGGGGGCTATTGGAAACATGGGGATATAGGGGGAACATGGGGGGAAATGGGGATATAGGGGGGACATGGGGGCTATGGGGGACATGGGGATAGGGGACATGGGGGGCTATGGGGGATATGGGGATATAGGGTGGACATGGGGGCTAGGGGGGACATGGGGGGCTATGGGGACATGGGGGGCTATGGGGGATATGGGGCGCTATGTGTGACACTGGGAGCTATGGGGTGCTATTGGGGACATGGGGGGTATGGGGGGTATGAAGATGTGGGGCTATGGGTGTCTATGGGGGCTATGGGGGACATGGGGATAGAGGGGGACATGGGGGGGCTATGGGGGATATGGGGGGTATGGGGCGTATGAGGACGTGGGGCTATGGGTGTCTATGGGGGCTATGGGGGGCAATGGGAGATATAGGGGACATGGGGGGACTATGGGGGATATGGGGCGCTATGTGTGACACTGGGAGCTATGGGGGGCTATGGGGACATGGGGGTATAGGGGGGACATGGGGGCTATGGGGGACATGGGGGGGCTATGGGGGATATGGGTGTCTATGGTGGCTATGGGGGACATGGGGATATAGGGGACATGGGGGGGATATGGGGCCTATGTGTGACACTGGGAGCTATGGGGGCTATGGGGACATGGGGGGCTATGGGGGACATGGGGGGTATGGGGGGTATGAGGAAGTGGGGCTGTGGGTGTCTATGGGGGGCAATGGGAGATATGGGGAGCTATGTGTGACTTTGGGGGTATGGGGATATGGGGGGTATGGGAGGACATAGACATGGGGGCTCATGGGGGGCTCATGGGGGGCTATGGGGGGCTGTGGGTGCTGACCTGTGGGTCTATGGGGCGCTGTGGGTCTATGGGGCGCTGTGGGTGCTGACCTGTGGGTCTATGGGGCGCTGTGGGTCTATGGGGGGCTGTGGGTGCTGACCTGTGGGTCTATGGGGCGCTGTGGGTCTATGGGGCGCTGTGGGTGCTGACCTGTGGGTCTATGGGGTGCTGTGGGTCTATGGGGTGCTGTGGGTCTATGGGGGGCTGTGGGTCTATGGGGCGCTGTGGGTCTATGGGGGGCTGTGGGTCTATGGGGTCTATGGGGGGCTGTGGGTCTATGGGGCGCTGTGGGTCTATGGGGCGCTGTGGGTCTATGGGGGGCTGTGGGTCTATGGGGCGCTGTGGGTCTATGGGGTGCTGTGGGTCTATGGGGGGCTGTGGGTCTATGGGGCGCTGTGGGTCTATGGGGCGCTGTGGGTGCTGACCTGTGGGTCTATGGGCGCTGTGGGTCTATGAGGGGCTGTGGGTCTATGGGGGGCTGTGGGTCTATGAGGGGCTGTGGGTGCTGCCCTGTGGGTCTATGGGCACTGTGGGTCTATGGGGGGCTGTGGGTGCTGCCCTGTGGGTCTATGGGGGCTGTGGGTCTATGGGGGGCTGTGGGTCTATGGGCGCTGTGGGTCTATGGGGGGCTGTGGGTGCTGCCCTGTGGGTCTATGGGGGCTGTGGGTCTATGAGGGGCTGTGGGTCTATGGGGCGCTGTGGGACTTTGGGGGGCTGTGGGTGCTGCTCTGTGGGTCTATGGGCGCTGTGGGTGCTGCCATGTGGGTCTATGGGGGCTGTGGGTCTATGGGGGGCTGTGGGTCTATGGGGGGCTGTGGGTGCTGCCATGTGGGTCTATGGGGCGCTGTGGGTCTATGGGGCGCTGTGGGTCTATGGGGGGCTGTGGGTCTATGGGGGGCTGTGGGTGCTGACCTGTGGGTCTATGGGGGCTGTGGGTCTATGGGGGGCTGTGGGTCTATGGGGGGCTGTGGGTGCTGACCTGTGGGTCTATGGGGCGCTGTGGGTCTATGGGGGGCTGTGGGTCTATGGGGGGCTGTGGGTGCTGACCTGTGGGTCTATGGGGCGCTGTGACCCCGCATTGACCACGCCCCTTGCGCCGCCGTGGCCACGCCCCCCTCCGTTCCCATGGTCGCGCCCCCCCGTTGCCATAACCACGCCCCTTGCGTCACCGTGGCCACGCCCCTTACGTTGCCATAACCACGCCTCTCACCCCGCTTTGACCACGCCCCTTGCGTCGCCGTGGCCACGCCCCCCTCCGTTGCCATGGTCACGCCCTTCCTGCCGCGGCCGCCATCTTGGATGAGGGCGGAAGCGGCGGCGGCGGCGGCCTGAGGTGAGGCCAAGGGGGGGGGGGCCTATGGGGCGCTATGGGGCTCGCTATGGGGCGCTATGGGGCGCGCTATGGGGCGCTATAGGGTCCCGTCTCACCCCCCCCATAGATGACCATTCACAACCTGTACATCTTCGACCGGAGCGGGACGTGCCTGCACTACAGTGAATGGCACCGGCGGCGGCAGGCCGGGATCCCCAAGGAGGAGGTGGGAGATGGGGGGCGATGTGTGGGGCTGGAGGGGGGTTATGGGGGGGGATGTGTGGGGCTGGAGGGGGGTTATGGGGGGGGATGTGTGGGGCTGGAGGGGGGTTATGGGGTGGATGGGTGGGGCTGGAGGGTGGTTAGGGGGGGGATGTGGGGGGGGTTATGGGGGGGATGTGTGGGGCTGGAGGGGGGTTATGGGGGGGATGTTGGGGCTGGAGGGGGGTTAGGGGGGGGGCGATGTGTGGGGCTGGAGGGGGGTTATGTGTGTGGGGCTGGAGGGGGGTTAGGGGGGATGTGTATGGAGGGGGGTTATGGGGGGATGTGTGGGGCTGGAGGGGGGTTATGGGGGGGGATGTGTGGGGCTGGAGGGGGGTTATGGGGGGGATGTGTGGGGCTGGAGGGGGGTTATGGGGGGGGATGTGTGGGGGGTTATGGGGGGGATGTGTGGGGCTGGAGGGGGGTTATGGGGGGGATGTGTGGGGCTGGAGGGGGGTTATGGGGGGGGAGGTGTGGGGCTGGAGGGGGGTTATGGGGGGATTTGTGGGGCTGGAGGGGGGTTATGGGGGGGATGTGTGGGCTGGGGAGGGGGGTTATGGAGGGGGGGGGGGGATGTGTGGGGCTGGTTAGGGGGGATGTGTGGGGCTGGAGAGGGGGTTATGGGGGGATGTGTGGGGCTGGAGGGGGGTTATGGGGGGGGATGTGTGGGGCTGGAGGGGGGTTATGGGGGGGGATGTGTGGGGCTGGAGGGGGGTTATGGGGGGGGATGTGTGGGGCTGGAGGGGGGTTATGGGGGGGGATGTGTGGGGCTGGAGGGGGGTTATGGGGGGGGATGTGTGGGGCTGGAGGGGGGTTATGGGGGGGGATGTGTGGGGCTGGGGGGGGATGTGTGGGGCTGGAGGGGGGTTATGGGGGGGGTGTGGGGCTGGAGATGAGCTATGGGGGCTCATCATGGCCTCCAATACCCCACACCCCACATCCACACCCCACATCCATACCCAGGAATTCAAGCTCATGTTCGGGATGCTTTTCTCCCTCCGCTCCTTCGTGAGCAAGATGAGCCCCACGGACATGTATCCTCTTGGGTTAGGGGCTGCCCCATAGCCCTTGGGGGTCCCGAGGTACCGCAGGGACCCCATAGACCCCGATGGGGGAGCCCCAGGGGTGAGATGTGGGGGGGGAAAGAGCTGGGGTAATGGTGGTCTCTATGGGGTCTCTGTGGGGTCCCTATGGGGTCTCTGTGGGTCTCTATGGGTCTCTATGGGGTAATGGAGGTTTCTATGGGGTCCCTATGTGGTCTCTGTGGGTCTCTATGGGGTAATGGGGGTCTCTGTGGGGTCCCTATGGGGTCTCTGTGGGGTCCCTATGGGGTCTCTGTGGGTCTCTATGGGTCTCTATGGGTCTCTATGGGGTTGCTGTGGATCTCCATGGGTCTCTGTAGGGTGTGTGGGTCCCTATGGGGTCTCTGTGGGATCCCTATGGGGTCTCTGTGGGATCCCTATGGGGTCTCTGTGGAGTCCCTATGGGGTCTCTGTGGGTTGCTATGGGTTCTCTATGGGTCTCTATGGGGTCTCTGTTGGTCTCTGTGGGTCTCTATGGGTCTCTGTGGGGTCCCTACGGGGTCTCTGTGGGTCGCTATGGGTTCTCTATGGTGTGTATGGGGTCTCTGTGGGGTGTCCCTGGGTCTCTGTGGGGTCCCTATGGGGTCTCTATGGATCGCTGTGGGTTCTCTATGGGTCTCTATGGGTTCTCTATGGGTCTCCAGAGTCTCTGTGGGGTCTCTATGGGTCCCTATGGTGTGTATGGGGTCTCTGTGGGTCTCTATGGGTTCTCTATGGATCTCTGTGGCATCCCTATGGGGTCTCTGTGGGGTCCCTATGGGGTTCTATGGGTTCTCTATGGGTCTCTATGGGGTCTCTATGGGTTCCTATGGTGTGTATGGAGTCTCTGTGGGTCTCTGTGGGGTCTCTATGGGGTCCCTGTGGGTCTCTGTGGGTTTCTATGGGGTCCCTGTGGGTCTCTGTGAGGTGTCTCTGGGTCTCTGTGGGGTCTCTGTGGTCCCTATGGGGTACGTATGGGTCTCTGTGGGGTCTCTATGGGGTCCCTGTGGCTCTCTGTGGTTTCTGTGGGGTCCTTGTGGGTCTCTGTGGGGTCTCTATGAAGTCTCTGTGGGTCTCTATGGGGTCTTTGTGGGTCCCTGTGGGTTTCTATGGTCTCTGTGGTTTCTATGGGGTCCCTATGGGTCTCTGTGGGTCTCTATGGGGTCTCTATGGGTCTCTATGGGTCTCTGTGGGGTCTCTATGGGTTGCTATGGGTCTCTGTGGGGTCCCTGTGGGTCGCTATGGGTCCCTGTGGGTCTCTGTGGGTCCCTGTGTGTCGCTATGTGCCTGAGCGCGCAGGCGGGACGGGTTCCTGTCCTTCCACACCTCCCGCTACCGGCTCCATTACTACGAGACCCCGAGCGGGCTGCGCCTCGTGCTCAACACGGACCTGGGCGTGAGCAGCGCCCGCGAGGCCCTGCAGCACATCTACAGCAACGTGAGTGCCTCAAACGGACCCAAAACTGACCCAAACGGACCCAAAACCGCCTCAAATAGACCCAAAACCGCCCCAAACGGACCCAAAACGGACCCAAACGGACCCAAAACCGCCCCAAACGGACCCAAAAGCACCTCAAATAGACCCAAAACTGCCCCAAACGGACCCAAAACGGACCCAAAACCGCCCCAAACGGACCCAAAACCACCTCAAACGGACCCAAAACCGCCCCAAACGGACCCAAAACCGCCTCAAATAGACCCAAAACTGCCCCAAATGGACCCAAAACCACCTCAAATAGACCCAAAACTGCCCCAAAGGGACCCAAAACCACCCCAAACGGACCCAAAACCACCTGAAATAGACCCAAAACCGCCCAAACGGACCCAAAACTGACCCAAAACCGCCCCAAACGGACCCAAAACCGCCTGAAATAGAACCAAAACCGCCCAAACGGACCCAAAACTGACCCAAAACCGCCCCAAACGGGGCCAAAACCGCCCCAAACGGACCCAAAACCGCCTGAAATAGACCCAAAACCGCCCCTAACGGACCCAAAACCGCCTGAAATAGACCCAAAACCGCCCCAAACGGACCCAAAACTGCCTGAAATAGACCCAAAACCGCCTCAAACGGACCCAAAACCACCCAAACGGACCCAAAACCACCCCAAAAGGAGCCAAAACCGCCTGAAATAGACCCAAAACCGCCCCAAACGGACCCAAAACCACCTCAAACGGACCCAAAACCACCTGAAATAGACCCAAAACCGCCCCAAACGGACCCAAAACCACCTGAAATAGACCCAAAACCGCCCCAAACGGACCCAAAACCACCTGAAATAGACCCAAAACTGCCTCAAACGGACCCAAAAACACATGAAATAGACCCAAAACCGCCCCAAATGGACCCAAAACCACCTGAAATAGACCCAAAACCGCCCCAAACGGACCCAAAACCACCTGAAATAGACCCAAAACCGCCCCAAATGGACCCAAAACCACCTGAAATAGACCCAAAACCACCTGAAATAGACCCAAAACCGCCCCAAACGGACCCAAAACCGCCCCAAACGGACCCAAAACCGCCCCAAACGGACCCAAAACCGCCCCGAACGGACCCAAAACCGCCCCGAACGGACCCAAAACCGCCCCAAACGGACCCAAAACCGCCCCAAACGACACAAAACCGCCCCAAACGGACCCAAAACCACCTCAAACGGACCCAAAACTGCCCCAAACGGGCCCAAAACCGCCTCAAATGGACCCAAAACCGCCCCAAAGAGACCCAAAACCAACTGAAATAGACCCAAAACCGCCTCAAACGGACCCAAAACCACCTGAAATAGACCCAAAACCGCCCAAAACGTACCCAAAACCACCCCAAACGGACCCAAAACCACCTGAAATAGACCCAAAACCGCCCCAAACGACCCAAGACCGCCCCAAACGGACCCAAAACCGCCTCAAACGGACCCAAAACCGCCTCAAATGGACCCAAAACCGCCCCAAAGAGACCCAAAACCACCTGAAATAGACCCAAAACTGCCTCAAACGGACCCAAAACCCCCTGAAATAGACCCAAAACCGCCCCAAACGGACCCAAAACCGCCTCAAACGGACCCAAAACCGCCCCAAACGGACGCAAAACGCCCCAAACGGACCCAAAACCTTCTGAAATAGACCCAAAACCGCCCCAAACGGACCCAAAACTGACCCAAAACCACCCCAAACGGACCCAAAACCGCCCCAAACGGACCCAAAACCTCCTGAAATAGACCCAAACCAGCCCCAAACGGAACCAAAACTGACCCAAAACCACCCCAAACGGACTCAAAACCGCCCCAAACGGACCCAAAACCACCCCAAACGGACCCAAAACCGCCTCAAATGGACCCAAAACCACCTGAAATAGACCCAAAACCGCCCCAAACGGACCCAAAACCTCCTGAAATAGACCCAAACCAGCCCCAAACGGAACCAAAACTGACCCAAAACCGCCCCAAATGGACCCAAAACCGCCTCAAATGGACCCAAAACCACCTGAAATAGACCCAAAACCGCCCCAAACGGACCCAAAACCGCCTCAAATGGACCCAAAACCACCTGAAATAGACCCAAAACCGCCCCAAACGGACCCAAAACCTCCTGAAATAGACCCAAACCAGCCCCAAACGGAACCAAAACTGACCCAAAACCGCCCCAAACGGACCCAAAAACGCCTCAAATGGACCCAAAACCACCTGAAATAGACCCAAAACCGCCCCAAACGGACCCAAAACCGCCTCAAATGGACCCAAAACCACCTGAAATAGACCCAAAACTGCCCCAAACGGACAAAAAACCGCCCCAAACGGACCCAAAACCGCCCCAAAGTACCCAAAACCGCCCCAAACGGACCCAAAACCGCCCCAAACGACACAAAACCGCCCCAAACGGACCCAAAACCGCCTCAAACGGACCCAAAACCACCTGAAACGGACCCAAAACCGCCCCAAACGGACCCAAAACTGCCCCAAATGGACCCAAAACTGCCCCAAACGGACCCAAAACCGCCCCAAATGGACCCAAAACCGCCTCAAACGGACCCAAAACCGCCCCAAACGGACCCAAAACCGCCCCAAACGGACCCAAAACCGCCCCAAACGGACCCAAAACCGCCCCAAACGGACCCAAAACCGCCCCAAACGGACCCAAAACCGCCCCAAACGGACCCAAAACTGCCCCAAACGGACCCCAAACCACCTGAAATAGACCCAAAACCGCCCCAAACGGACCCAAAACTGCCCCAAATGACCCAAAACTGCCCCAAATGACCCAAAACTGCCCCAAACGGACCCAAAACCGCCCCAAACGGACCCAAAACCGCCCCAAACGGACCCAAAACCGCCCCAAATGGACCCAAAACCGCCCCAAACGGACCCAAAAGCCACCAAAACCCGCCCAAATGTGACCCCCAAATGCTATGGGGGGTTCTGTGGGTGCTATGGGCGGTCTATGGGTTCTATGGGGGGTGTATGGGTGCTATGGGGGGGGCTATGGGTGGTCCATGGGTGCTATGGGGGCATCTGTGGGTGCTATGGAGGGGTCTAAAGGTGCTATGGGGGGTCTGTGGGTGCTATAGGGGGTTATATGGAGTGGTCTATGGGTGCTATGGAGGGGTCTGTGGGTGCTATGGAGGGCTCCATGGGTGCTATGGGAGGTTCTATGGGTGCTATGGGGGGTCTATGGGTGCTATGGAGGGGTCTATGGGTGCTATGGGGAGTTCTATGGGTCCCTATGAGTCTCTATGGGTGCCATGGGGGGATTTATGGGTGCTACGGGGTCTCTATGGGTGCTATGGGGTCTCTATAGGTGCTATGGAGGAGTCTGTGGGTGCTCTGGGGTTTCTATGGGTGCTATGGGGTCTCTATGGGTGCTATGGGGGGTTCTATGGGTGCTATGGGGGTTTCTATGGGTGTTACGGGGTTTCTATGGGTGCTATGGGGTCTCTGTGGGTGCTCTGGGGTTTCTATGGGTGCTCTGGGGAGTTCTATGGGTCCCTATGGGTCTCTATGGGTGCTATGGGGTCTCCATGGGTGCTATGGGGGGTT